ACACCCACCCACACCCCACACCCAATATGACAATCAAGTATCACTTCAAAGTGCTACGTTTTTTTTTTTTTTGAAAATCTTACTCATCAGCCCAAAGAATCGATTTCAGGAGCTCGATTAAAATTATATGAAATGGAATTTCAAAGTTTTATTATCTATTGTTTTTTCATTAATATTAACTTTTGTCTTTTTGTTAAATATAGAAACGCCAATAGTATTTATGCATAGTTCTAAAGAAAAATACTATTTAATACGACATATATTGTCGTTATTTGTAATATTATTAATGGGCGATAATCTAGCAAACATCCACCAATTCGTGTGTCTCTTAGACATAAATTAGAATGATCTGTATCAATTACATTCATAAGCACAAGCATTCAAATACATTTTCCATAATATTTAGTATAGTTATTACATATAGAGTACAGTCACATTGTTCTGCAACAATTGATGAAAGTACACAAGACTCTCGCCAAACACCAAGCAAAATTTTGGTGAAATTTCACCAATAATGGGAAAGTCTTATTCGCGAATAGCAGAATTTCCTTATGAAAGTTTTCTCTAGTAGATTTCTACGGAAAGAAAAGAAAGAGACAATTTATTGATAGATAAGCTATAAAATGGTGCAGTGTATTCGTAATCATGATTGCTAAAGTTTTTGAAGAATGAGCAATGATCTACTTTGAATTGGAATACATCAATAATTCAATCGTTTTGAAACATGTTGAATAAATGATTTTGTCAGATATTGATATTTTTTTAAAATATAGGTTCATCTCCAAAGACATTCTACAAAATATGAATATTGTAGAAAATTCATATGTCACAAAGACTTTCTTTAAAAAATCTGATATTTCATACGGAATCTAGCTTGGTTAACATCTTGATGAGAGCAAAGTTTCGACGTCAAATTTGAAATTATGATTTTGTTACAATATTACGTCATAAAGAGTGAGAGAGAAAGAATTTCTTAAAAACTTGATATCTTTGATAGAAAAAGTTTGAGGAAATATATCTTTTAAAACTTCTTCATATTTGATTTAGATCTGCTTGTGACTAAAAGTTTTGGTAGAACGGTTTAAACATGTAAACATATTCCACTCGTTAGTCTAAACTGAGAAAGAAAAAGACAGTCGTATTGTGAAAATCTTGTGCTTTTTTTAATTTATCATTCTAAAAAACAATTACTTTTTTTTAAATGAGGCTGTGGTGTCTTAATGAAAGGAAGACTAACATCACACACCCACATCCTGTTGATTATTCATACAATATACTCTGAAGTATCAATTATCTTACAAAAAGAAATAATAGAATTATGGTTTTAGAAAACATTTTATGAAAACGATAAAACGAAAAGTCTCTTTGATTTCTTTATCAGTCTTTCTATGATACAGATTGAGTGCTTGTTTGAATCAAAAAGATAAATTTAGAAAAAAACTCATAATTTAAAACCGTGTGGTAGTAAGAAACAAAAAAAATGTTATTTCATTCGATTATGTAAATATCTGACTAAGTTGAAATTTTACTTGCATCCAGTGACACCTATCAATTGATTCAAAACAAAACAATATCCATTAACAAAAATCCTTCATCTCAATTTTGATGTTGGTTTTGAGAGAAATATTCATAGTACGTTGGTTAATCGATAATCCAATACATGCTTTTAGGTGTATCTATGTTTTTTCCATCCGATATGACGCATAAATATATGTTGTGACTCAGGTTTGCGCAATATAACTCAAAAAACCCATGTTTTGCGAAATTACACATGCGGGTATTTTGTCTTTTGTCAAGTGCTTAAAAGTAAAGGAGAAGAAAGAAAATTGCAGTTATTTTTCTTTGCATCGTTACTGCGAACATACTATTTGATTCACATTGGTATCATTCTTTTGTCAGCGACGAATTTACAAATTTGTTCATTTACTTCAATATTCAGACAATAGTGAAAGAAAGGCATAGATCATGAGCAAACGACCTAAATCGTGTGGTATCATAAACTCTAAATTGGAAATTTCTTCTTTTATGCGATTTTCTATGAAATGTTTTAGAGTCGAAGAAGCAACATTCAAAATTGACTAAAAAAATCACCAAAGAACAACAAGAAACCAATGAGAAAGGTTTTTGTTTGAACAGTTCATTCACTTCTCGAATTTAAATTTAAGATTTGGAGTTAGTTGATTCCTAGTAATAACTATGACAAACTCAGGAATCTTTTCAGGTTGCATGGAACTGAGAAAAATAAATAAATAATAGATGAAAAATCAAGACGCCTTTGTTCTTTACATACTTAAACAAGAACTTTCAGTACAATTAAGTGTTATTTACCTCATTCGTCACTAAATGAGAATAGTGACAACAACAAAATGAAATTCTTTGAAAAGAAAACGATGGTTGAAATCAATCTTTTTGCTTCAATAAGAAATCATAATCAAGATTGCCATAATAGGAATTAGTTTTAGGGACTAAAAGATATTCTCTTCATTAAAATGTTTCCTAAAAAAAAGTAACTTAAAGGCCATATGTTTTAGTTTCCAATCAATTCAGTTTTCTGAAAAAATATATTTTATGCAAATCAATTCATAAAATATGTTGCTCTGTCCAAAAGGATATTAATTTGAAAATGAAGAATTCCTTCTCACATAAACTGATATTCTAGGGATTATGAGACCTACATAGTACTAAAATTCACTAAACTATTCGTTAATTAATAAGAACGACTGGAGTCACAGGCATCTGTTCATAATTTTTGAAGTATGAATAGTGAAATTCTAACTTCAAACCATCTCTTATTTTGTCATTAAAAATAACATATTTCATTTAAAATTGACTTTATTCAAGCTAAAAGAAAATGACTTATTTTTCATGTTGATACGTTTGAAATTTGAATTTTAGTATGTATTTCAACAACAGCTTCATGGCTTTCTTCTGAATCCAGCGATGATGATTCGTCTAGAGATTCTTGCTCGAATGTGAAGCTGAATGTTATGGACGAAAAATGTCCATTATACATCACTTCAAGTATGTGTTCAATATCTTGTCTCAACTGTACGAGCTAAGTATCTCTCTCTTTTTTTTTTAAGATGGTCATATCTTTTTCAAATTATTCTTGCCAATTAACAAACGTATCGTAGATTTTTTGATTTCAATTGCTGAGGTATATAATTTATTTGTTTTTTACTACTAATGAATTGTTTTTAATCCGTAAAATAATGAATTTCTTTCTAGCCGGTCCGTCGTCTCGAAAATATTCATGAATATAAACTGACAGCTTATTCCCTCTATTCTGCTGTGTCGATTGGTTTCAAAACACAATATATTATTGAAGGGTTACAAGAATTCAGCAAAACAAGTATTCCAAGTGGCATAATAGATTTTATCAAAGTATTCTCTTATTGTATATTGTTCAATCGAATTAAAAAACAAATAATTCTTTGTTTGACAGTTGTATACACAGAACTATGGAGACGTTCAATTAGTATTGAAACATAATCGTTTCTTTGTTCAAAGTTCTTTTCATGTCAGTTGATATTTTTCGAACATTATCATATGAGATTGTTCTCTTTTTTTGTCAGGAAGTTCTCAGAATTCTTCTTCAAGATTCTCAAATTCAACAATGTCGACTAATCTCTACAGACAAAAATATTAACACAACTTTCATGCAAGTCCGTAACAAAATAAAGTAATATATAGTGCACATAAACACTTTTTTTGTTTACTTAGAAATCATCTTTCATCATTCAAAGTACAGCGAATAGTTCAATAGAGCCTCAAACTGTTGTTAATGCTTCGTCAACAACCAATCAAGATGTTGATGAAGATCTGAAAGTTTCGATATGTGATTCATTTGAAGTCATTCCAGACAAAATTGAATTGTTAAGAAGACGGTCAGTAATTTTTTCATGTTCTTTTTCTTTTTTTTATACAATTGCTTTTGTACTTTACAAATATTCAGATGTCAAGAGTTGAACTATCCACTACTTGAAGAATATGACTTTCGTCATGATACAGATTTGAAAAATCTCAATATTAAACTTCTTCCGAATACCATTTTGAGACCTTATCAAGAAGAAAGTTTACAAAAAATGTTTGACGAAGGTAAACTCGATGCACTTTTTGTTTTCATTTCGTTAATCTATCAATGCATACCTATTAGAACGAGCTCGATCTGGTGTCATTGTACTTCCTTGTGGTAAATGTTGAACTTAATTATCTCATGTTTTGCATGATGAATCTATTTTTCAGGTGCTGGCAAATCATTAGTTGGCGTTGCAGCTGCATGTAAAATTAATAAGAGTTGTCTCGTAGTGTGTAATTCGAATGTTTCTGTACAACAATGGAAAGAACAGTTCGAGAAATGGTCGACTGCAGATAATTCTACAATAAGATTGTTCACAGCAGAGAACAAGAACAAACCAACTCGTGAGAAAAGTGCATCACTCTCGTTATACTAATTAAAACCTTGTATTACTTTGTTTGACATCGTTAGATACCTGCATCTACATCAGTACATATCAAATGATTGCACCCACCGATGGACGTAGTGTTGAAACGAGTGAGATCATGAAACTACTCGCAAGTCATGAGTGGGGTTTGTGACGTCATATTCCATTTTTTTTTGTGTCTCTCAGACTCACTCTATCCAATAGGTTTGATGTTGCTCGATGAAGTACACACAGCTCCGGCTACAAGCTTTCGAAAAATATTGAACTTCATTCATGCTCATGTCAAGTTAGGTCTTACGGCGACGCTCGTTCGTGAAGATGATAAAATTACAGATCTTAATTTTTTAATTGGACCTAAATTGTACGAAGCCAATTGGATCGAATTACAAAATTTAGGATTCATTGCTAAAGTTCATTGTGGCGAAGTAATACATTCATATTTGAAAATTTTTCATAGTCAAATCTCTTTCTAAGATTCAATGTTCAATGACACCTGAATTTTTGCTCGCATATAATAATGCTGCAAATGATGTGATCAAACGAAGACTCAGTGCTATAAATCCAAATAAGTTTCGAATTTGTCAATATTTAATTGAATATCATGAACAACGAAATGATAAGATTATTGTTTTTTGTGATGATCTATTTGCATTGCAAATCTATGCACAAAAACTTGTTAAGTACGTTATATTTATTCTTTTATTAAGTTTATATATTTTATTTATTCATTAAAGAGCAATTATTTATGGAGAAGTATCACAAAGTGAACGTATTTTAATTTTGCAAAATTTTCAACGTAATCCACGAATCAATACTATTTTTATTTCTCGAGTAAATTTTTGTTTTTTAAATAAAATCAAAATTGTACATGAATAAATGTATGATAGGTGGGAGATACATCGTTTGATTTGCCTGAAGCAAATGTGATCATTCAAATATCAAGTCATGGTCGTTCACGACGTCAAGAAGCACAACGACTCGGTCGTATTTTACGAGCAAAAAGTAGCTTTTATTTTTCCTATTGAATAACAAAAATGAAATTTTTCGTTTTTCAGATACTTCCACTGACGAGAACAATGCTTTTTTTTACTCACTCGTGTCACAAGATACAGTTGAAATGCGCAATCAACTTAAACGAAAAAGTTTTCTTATCGATCAAGGTTATTCATATAAAATCATTTCAGAGATAGTAATCAATGAAGTAAGTATTATAATCTTTGTTATGTGATAGAATAATTTGAATTCTTTTTCTCTCAGAATCAATTCCATTTCTCAACAAAAGATGAACAAGAGCAACTATTGAAAATAGCTCTCGCAGGACCCAATCAAGATGAAGATAAGAAAATAAAAAAGACATCGACTACAACAGCAAGCTCTCGTTCGAAACAACCTATTCATCCTCTTTTCCGAAAATATCGAAGATAATCTCGTCATGTGTATAGTCAAGTTTATTGGTTTTATAATTGTGATTATTTAATAAACAATAAGACGTTTTTTTTCTCTTTTTGAGCGAAACATTTTCATCATTGTAAACTGTACCGCGATTATTGTACAATTAAATAGTGCAAAATTCTTTGAAAAAATGTCACTCTCTCTTAGACCATATTGTCAACTCGGAGAAAACGTCAAAAATAAAACATCTTTAACAAAGTTCTTGCAACATTTTTGCAATTTGAAAAGCTTTTTTTCCTTTAGTTATTTGAGCTATATGGATTAAATTCTAGAACAAAAATTGACAAATCTCTTCTGGAAATAGCTATAGTTTTTTTTTTTTATAAAAACGAAAAGTAAATTTTTCTACTAATACAACATTGGAAACAGTACTTTTAATCCTGCAAAATTCATCGTTAAACATGGTTTTTCATGTTATTTCTAATATAAAAAGTTTAATGAGCAACAGAAAAGTGATTTTGGATGATGGTAAAGTTGGAATGAAATCTCTCTTTCACGTAGGACCGTGAACAGAAGGCATCTATACCTATATCCAAATTTAAAAACCATTCAAGCAAATAGTCCACATTTAATGGAGAAGAAGGAAGTAAGAATTTTCTTTGTTCTATGACAAACAGATACTAATTGATTTCTTTGATTGTGATTAGGAGAAATCCATTTGTCTCTATTCTACTAGGAATATTAGAAATCGTTAAAAGTTTAAGAAATCTATACAACAGTTCTAAGTCAATAAAAACGAAAGCTTTGATTTTAATGCTATTATTGATCATCAGTAGTGATTTATAATAATTCCTGGTAGTTTCTAATCGTTTTTTGATTCTTTACGATAGTATTGAATCAAATATAGTTATTATACATATATCACAACGTATTAGATGGATTTCTGGAAATACAACATTAATTCTCAATCAGCGTGTACATGCGACATCTTCTCTAATTTATTTAATCGTATTGAAAATGCTTAAATATTAAGCAAATTAAAATATTAACTTTGATTTTATTTTGAAATTTTGAAACGTCGTGTCAAATAGCATGATTGGTTTTAATTGATTTTTTGGTGAGCTTAAATGATTCCGTGTGACTTAAATCAGTTATTTGTCTCTTGGGTGGCCGCCATATACCTTCTTGTCATTTGTTACTGACAAGCGAAAGCGATCCTAAATAAGCAACAGGCAATACCTTGATTTTCAAGAAATATATTTGGATATAGACAAAAGTAGCATCCACGAACTTGTCCTGTCGGTTGATTTCTTTGGTATTAACACTTATTTCATACCCATGGCGTAAATTTCTGCGAAAAAAACGCGTTCTGAAAACGCGTTTTTCCATAGATGCGAAACGCGTTAATGCTGGCCGGTTTGACGCGTTTCAAATTTGCTAAAACGAACGCTGTGTAACGATTGTTTTTGTGAAAAATTTCGCAGCGTTTCTCAAACTGTGATGTCGTATATTCTAGATAGAAAAAAAACTGAGAACCATCAATGACTTCATAGATCATGAATTGCAGGTTCAACTTATGTACTCGTTTACATTTTTTCATGGATCTTTAGAACTATAACTTACATGAAATTTGATGAAGTCAAGACACGGATTCGAACACGAGAACATAGGAGTGTAAGACATGTATACAAACCGTTCAACTAAAATAATATAATGATATAAGTGTTTATTCTACTGTCATTTAGAGTCTCGCGTAAACTTACTAAATTAGGTTTTTCAGTTTCCATTCCACTGAATTAAAAATTATCATTTCTTTGGTGCCTATATCCAGTTACGAGTGTGGTCTTCTCTTGATACATTTTTTATTTAAACTCTTTCAGATTTAAATTTAGACACCCAATAGAAACGAATTTAATCTATTTAAATTGTATTTAATATCTAAAAAAATTAATTTCTTATATATAAATTTTAAAAAATTTAAAATTTAATCTTTTATTTATTTTCTTGATTTAATAGATTTTTGTAAATGTAAATTCGTCATCGTTTTATCCAATTACATTAATAAATGAAAGGAGTTTTCTTTTGTAAGTCGAACCTCTTTTATTAAAAGGCACTCTTACTGCAACAATATACAAACTAAAATCATGTTTACTAGTATTGTACACAGTATCATTAGTCATTATCAATTAGTCCGAGTATGAACTCCTACTAATAATTATTCAAATTATAAATGACGCGATAATTTTTTTGTTTACAAATAACCAAAGAGAGTTGCCATACTAATTATGTTAGTATCAGTCTTTACTAAATCTTTTCGAAATGCTCAATATTTAAAACGATTCTTACTTAAACCTTACGAAACACGTTTTCTTTCAATAAAAACGTGGTCAAATGAGTTTTTAAGTAAGAAGAATATATTTTTGTTACACTCTGATGCTTTACATTAGTCTAACTTCGAATCAGGCCTAGATAACAGCCCAGCAACCTAAAAATTTAGAAGACTTCGATTTTAGTCTTGCCTTCATACAGTATGGATCATGATTTTCACGTACAAAAATAGTGCAAGGAGCAAAAATTTCAAGTGCTAATTCATATCATTTCCAAAGTAATGTTAAAGAATTTACTTTGCTTAACTCATATGCTTTGTGTTGGTGAATTTCTGCAAGATTCTGTATGCAGAACGGATATATTTTGCATCATTCCAAGCAAAAACAATGCAACAAGCGTTTGAAAAAGAAACGCGTTTCACGTTTTTCCCAATTTGTATCTGTGGAACGCGTCGCCTGTCGACCAAAGTGCATTCGACAGCATTTTAATTCGAAAACGCCTCGAAACGCAATCTCGAAAAAAGCGTTTCGGATCGTTTCAAAAAACGGTGGTGTCAAAACGCATTTTATGTAAGTAAGAATGCTGCGAAACGCGCCCTGTATTGAAAAAACGTTGCGAAACGCATGCTACAATCTCGGAAACGCGTTACGCAGTCCGTTTCCTTCAATATTTTACTCCATGGGTAAAGTTAATTGAATATTTTAGATCTTACAGAAATTCGCAATTTCTGGAATTTACTATCAGAAGGTAAGCAAAAAACGCTGACATACGGTATAAGTCAGCGCAATTATTCATCCTTCTGTAAATAGTAGGCAGTAAATAAAATGCAACGAAGATAACCAACTAAATATAACCATCACGTACTTGATAATTGATGACGCAAAATAATGAAAAAAATGATAACGATGAATCAATTTGTAGACAGCAACAAGTACATAACCATGCATAACCAATTTTGTGTGCATTGTGTGGCATGAAAAGAAAAAAACATACGGTTGGAATGAAAACATTTCTCGATTGCCTAGACAACAGTCTTCTTCATTCTAAGAGGACTAGAAAAAATCAAGACGACTCTGATGTACAGGGTGTGTAAAAATATTTTTCCAGGAGGCTAACACTATAATTTCAAACAGTGTACATAACTATTTTTATACCAAATTAAAGCGCGTCGAAAATGGGATTTATTGATACTAAATAGTAAGAGTTATCAAAACCTTTTAATGTCGAATTTATGAAACATACAGAAATTTTATACTTTTTTTGGCATAGAAAAATCGAGACGCTAATAGTTTCCATAATAGAGTCAAACATTTTTTACATGGTTGGGTAGACCTCATCGAGCTCTACAAAACTGTATATATTAAATTTTTTTTAAGCCATTGTTCTAAAATAAAAAGTTTAAAAAACTACTTGAAAGATGCTAAAAAACTTTCAAAAAACTCATTTTTTTTCATTTGGAAAAAAATTCCTCGATTTTTCGAGAAAATTAATGCTTTTCTTTGACTTTACTATTACACGCGCTTCAAAATATGCTCATCAGATGCAGCGTGGAAAACTGTGCCTAACGAGTCTATTTTGAGGCATCTTTGGCAGCAAAAATAATGAAAAAGCAAATTTTCTTGAAAAATTGAGGAATTTTTTTCCAAATGAAAAAAATGAGTTTTTTGAAATTTTTTTAGCATCTTTCTATTCAATTATTTATTTATTCCAATTCTTTGACTCTTATTGATTATTGTCATATTGCAGTGGCGCGTTTAGGGGCCACGAAGTCAGGGGTGTGAGATAGGGTGGGTGTCTGAAGTTTTCTTTTAAACCCACACCCACCCCCTCTTCGTTTATATCCATTGTGATTATGTTGTATGAAAAATTTTCTTTGTTCAATGGAGAATTCTGGTAGTTCTCACTTTTTTTCAGCGATAAAAATAAACAAATATTAGATAATTAGTTTATGTTGTGAATAATTGATGGTTAAAAATCATGTTCTAATGAATTTTGTTCTTTCAATAATTATTAATCACAAATGGAAAAGTTTGTATTTGAATTCAATTTGATTTGATTGTATTTTAACAATCATCGTTCAAAAATCAAATCAAAGTCAACAGACAAATGATGAATGTCAAATAGAATCTGATGTTTTTCAATAATCGACTAACGAATAAAAATTGATCTTGAGAAGATTTCAATGGATAACAATGACGAGATTGAAGATAAACAAGAAACGATATAAAAAGCATCGACGTCATCATTTGGTTCGATCACAATGATCGAATGAAGGTGGAAACATACAACGTTCCAACAAAATGTCCTATCGAAGTATTGCATCAATCATTGATTGGTTTGTCATCATATTGGTGATGCACAACATGCAATGAATCCATTTGTTGGTAATGAAGCAAATATGCCTATTATGGATTGTTATCAACTTGCTGCTCATCAATGAGTTCATGGCAAAGATTTAAATTCAAGAATTCAACCTTATGATGATTTATGTATCCCAAGATCGACAACAGCCATTAATATGAGTTTGCGAAATATTACTATTGGATATTTACAAGAAATTTGGAAATATATAAATTAAATATCATTTTTCTTTTTCAGATTCATTTATTAAATACGCTTTTATTTAACGTATTGTTAACTAAATATTTAACTTTAAGTTTACGAGAATTTCTTAGAAAATAAAATAGTACGCATTCACCTGCATC